GGGGTCCCGCGCGCCCCGCTGTCAGGCCCGTTAGGCAGGCACGCGGGCAGGGGCGCTGGGGTGCGGGCGCCCCATGCTGAAGTCATTATGGCAAGTCGCAGGCTTCCCCCGCGGTGGAAATTTGGAAAAAGCCTCCCCTGGCAGGCCCGGGAGAGGAATTTCCCGTCCCACTAAATTGCTACCAGATGGCCGGCCGGCCCGCCCGCAGCCAGCGCGCTCGGCCGCCGAAGCCCCGGAGTCCGGGGTCTAGGGCGCGACGGGCGAGGGGCCAGCGCTGTCCGGACGGGTCCTGGGGCCAGTCGGGCCGCCTGCGGCGCGGACGCCCGTTAACTCCCGCTCGGCCACACCTCCCCTCCTCGCGCCAGTCGGGGTACCCCCGCGTCGCCAGCGCCATACGGGACCACGTGTCCTGGCCGCCTTGCACAGAGGGAGGAGTGTTAGGGTGGGGAAGCCGTCTGGGGTTCAGAAGTCGTAAATCCACGGCACGACACCCCGATGCGGTTTAAAATAAACCCTCAGGTCAAAGCGTGTCTGCACACGGATTTACTGGGGCGTGGAGGGGAGACGACGGCCTCTCTGGGACCCGAGCCACCTGAGGCACGTGTTGGGGGACCTCTCCCCCGCACCCACTGTCCGCAGGCTCTTCAGCTGCGTCCACGCGCCTGGTACCGGCAGGGAAGCATCTGCCCAGGGTCGGGGCGGAATCCAGCCATGGTGCCTCCCTGCCGCCCCTCTTCCGAGAGGGGTGGGCACGGAGGAAGGGTACCCCTGGAGGATGTGGGACTGGGGGACCCGGTGGGGTCAGGCGCTCGGTCAGAGCCGGGGGTGGGGGGGTGGGGGCCTTTCTCTGGGCGGCGCCGGCCACGCCCTCCTCTTCCCTCCTCCGAGGTCCCGGTGTCCCCATCCCCCGGGGGGCCAGGACTTCAGGAACGTTTCCGGCACCCACTTCAGAAGCGGGCGGGCTGGCACCGGCGCCCGCAGGCGGCGCTCCGCGGGGGCCTGCGCTGTGTGCTGTCGGGGCGCTGCACACTCGGGACCAGGCGAGCGGGGCCGAGCGGGCGGGCACGTCTGGAGAGAGCCCCCCACCCGCTGTCACGGCGGGACCCACGCGGCCGGATTGGACGGGCTGCGCCGGGCATGGGGGGCGGAGGTGGGGGCACTGCTTTTACGTCCCTTTCTGTCTCCCTCCCCTCGGGCGGGCGGCGGCCCCTTTCTCCCTCGCGCTCGCTCTCAAAGCGCCCCTTATTCCCCGCCCCCCCACTCCTGGTGACGGAATCCCGCTCTGTTTCCCTCTGTTTAATGCCGTTGCCCGGACCACGATGGCCGCGCTCCAGGCGCGCGCAGTTCCGGGGGCGGCGCGTCCAGCTAGCCGAGGGCCGGCTGAGTCCCTCCTCAGGCCACCGCGGTCCAGCCTCGGCCCCTCCTAGGCCTCCCTCCTCGGCCTCTTCCTCCTCCAAGGAGTCCTGGGTTTGTTTATAGCCGCTACTAGGAGAGACGCTCTGGGTTTTATTTTAAGAATTGGCGATGACTAACGAAGTTAAAAGGAGCTTAGGACAGAAAACAAGACTATTTTTAGATTACTGTTGTTTCTGTGGATTATTGGGGCAAATACACCACAGAAGCGGAGACTCTGAAGCCCCTCGGGTGCCAGAGCCTTCCTCCAGGCACCTTTTCCCAGAGAAGGCTGACTGCCACCTTCCAACGCTTGTTTACACCCGACTGTCATGGTGACGCGTCCGTGGGGGCCTGGGCGGGCATCCCCACCGGAGACCCACTGGGCATTCAGCCACGTCTGCCTGGTCTTCAGATTGCAGCCCTGAGGACTGAGGCCAGTGCCTGCCCCCCACCCCGTTCCCTGCAAGCCTGAAGGCAGGCTCTCCACAGGTCAGGGCTTTCCAATTGTGCAGTTCAGTCCCAGATGGCACTTCTTGCTAGCTGGTGAAAGTTGTACAAACATCTGCGCCTTAAATGAACACTTCATCCCACTGGGAACCACAGCAAGAAGCCCAGTGGCACAGTGATTACAGCACCTCTCCACAATTCCAGGGATTCCTACCCCCAGGGGTTGAGTGGAAGAAAGGTGCAGGCAGTCTGCTTCCGAGAGGGGAGAAGCACCGTCCCAAGAGGGCTCTGTGCTGTACTCGTTCCTGTTGGAGCACAATCTGTGGCAAGTTTCGTGTTTCCAATGGGTCAAATCCACCAGTCGCTGCCCAGGGATGGGCCGTCCACTCCCACTGTGATTTACACCCTAGGAAGCCGATGCTGTTGCTACCTGCAAGGTAAGCCAGGGACCAGCTCCTGGTGCTGTGCGCGGGCTGTGTATGTGCAGGACTGACGGCCAGGGTGCCCTACTCTGAGCCAATTCTAAGCACCAGCCTGGCTGCCATTGGTTCAGCGCCACGCGGTGCCCCACAGGCCTCTCCAGGCCTTTCGGGAGCATGTGGTCTGACTCTTCCCCATGGCGCTGCACTAAGTTCCACCTGTCAACATCTCCAGTGGCAGCCCCAAGCTTCCTGCCAAGCTGCCACCACTAGCTTGCCAGTCCTGGTGCAGTCTTCGTTCATGACACTCCTCATCACCAGCTGGAAGGAGCAGACCTGAGACCAGGAAACCCTTGAGATAGCAACATGCCTCTGTGGAGAAGGCTAGGTGAAGTGCTTGGAGGTGGCACCACTGTGAATAACTTACCCCTGTGCTGTAAAATAGGTGTCCTGGACGGCATCTCTACTTCCTCAGTGTCCTGGAGGCCTGGGAATGTCTGTCCAGCGTCTGAACACACCTGACTTGTGGTGTCTCGGTGTACCCCGTGCCTTGCAAAGCCTCTTGCCTGCTGTCCCCACCCCTCCCAAACCCCAGCCTGCAGCCTCCTCTCCAGTCATCTCTGCTCCACCTCCCTTACCCAGGCCCTCACTCTAGACCTCCAGGCAAGTTGATCAGCAAGAGACCATGTTTACCTCCAGACCAGACCATCACTCCCTCTGCCCCTCCTACATCCCTGCCACCCTGCACTCAGGCACTGACCCCTTCAGGCACAACCCGGCGACCCCACGCCATACAGACCTAGTGCTGACTCTCAGGCAGGTGCCTGGTTGAAGAGGACTTTGGCTTTCAGTCCCACCTTAAAGCCAATGTCATGCTTGTGCCACTGCATGTCCTCAACCACTGCCTCTCGGCATCTCTGCATCTCATCGTCCAGTGCATCCCATCACCCACTGCTCATTGCCACTGCTTTCACCACCACTGCCTCTCGCCACCACTGTCGTCATTGTTGTTAGCCATCGAGTCACCTGTGACCCACAGCAACCCTATGTACAGCAGCTCTGAAGCCTGCTCTGAAGTCAATCTCACTGACTCTGACACACCAACCCCCATTGCCCCAGTCACTGACTGTATCAATCCATCTCATCTGGGGTCTCCCTCTCTTGCACTGTTCCTCCACCCTTCCAAGTATGGTGTCCTTCTCCAAGGACCTGTCTCTCGTGGCCATGTGCCCAAAGGATGTGAGAAAGAGCTTCAAAATCCTAGCCTCTAAGGGGAAACTTGGTTTCACCCTCTCCAAGACACACCTATTTGTCTTCTTGGTGGTCCATGGTATGTTGAAGACTCTTCTCCAGCACCACAACTCAAAAGGCATCAATTCTTCCTCTGTCATCCTTAGTCACTGTCCAGCTCTCTGATGCATAGCAAATAATTGTGAAGATCATGGCCTGGATTAGGCACACCTTAGTCTCTAGACTGACATCGTTGCTTTTCAGCACTCTGGAGAGGTCCCTGACAGTAGATTTTCCCAATGCAATTTGTCTTTTGATTTCCTGACTTCTGGTGTTAAGAGTATTGATTGTAGGGCCGAGCAAGCTGTAATTGTTGACACTTCAATCTCTTCTCCATCTATCATGGTACTACAACCTGTAAATACACTTCCCATACTATCACTACGCTTTATGCAATATTAGTGTCAAGGGTCCACGTCTGCTGACTCCTGCATGCCCAGCACATCTTGAGGGAGCCCAAGGTAGACCTCAGTTCTGGTCCCAGACAAGTCCTTATGTTTCTTAGTCCCTCTGTGCCTGGCCTGACAAGACACCCCCCAGGCAGAAGAGCTCTCAGCTGGGAGCAGACACTTTTGAGACCCAGGTAGCTGCACTCCAGTCCTGTCTGTAATCAGGAGGGTGGTACACAAGGTACTGAACGGATGCAGCCTTGAATGGAAGGCGGTCTGGACGCCTAGTCTATAGGGGTTGTGCTGCTCACCAAAAGGCTGCCTGTCTCCAGCATTTCCAATCTGCCAGCAGCCACAAAGGACAAATCTGCAGCCTTGAAAACTTGGAGGGTCACTGTGAGTCTCAATCAATTTGACAGAAGCAAGTTTGTTCAAGTTTGTTTTTAATGTAAGGGGGAAAGGAGTGAGTTGTGAGACACTCCCTGGTTACATCCACTGACAAGACATCCAGTATGCAGAAGAGGGGCTGAACACCTGGATGTAGCCA